CTCTCTCTCTCTCTCTCTCTCTCTCTCTCTCTCTCTCTCTCTCTCTCTCTCTCTCTCTCTCTCTCTCTCTCTCTCTCTCTCTCTCTCTGCCCTGACCAATTTGGTCAAGGCTATGCCCAATCGAACACTACAGAGTCTACGAAAGGCCTTTTCATACTCAGGGGACTGCGCCTGGAAACGAAAGCGGAGCAAGGTACTGGATTTGGCCAAGAAAACCACATGATGACCAAACGGATGGATCAGACTACCTTTATGTTATTGTATTTTATTTTAGTTTAGTTAATTTTTTTTTTTTTTTTTCATTTGTTTTAGTTCATTTATTTTGATTTTGAACTCGGCTTACGTATGTAGTTCAACTCACGGATTCCGTACGAGAAGACAGTGTAGCCGGCCCATTTTGTATTTTCCATTTTGAAGTGTGCAGTTTGAATTCTGCATTTCGAATTGTGAAAAGGCCGGACGCACCGAAATTTTGGGTGAACAGACACAAAGTAGGTGCAGGGCGGAGAAGCACTCCACCGGCCAATAGGGCCCACGGGGCGATAGCGGGATTTTGGGAGACTTGAGGAAATACGACTTCGGGGAAGGCGGGGATGGACATGGGGTACTTTTGGGAAGCAAGTACATCGCGGAACGAGCAGTAGGCAGGTTTCGCCCAAACGTCAACTGGAGTCTTGATCGGCAAGACATGTGGTTACTATTTCTGATTCTTGGACAACAGGGTACTACTCTCGGTATTCGAGACGGATGTGGGGGAGTGAGTCCTGGATACTATATAGTACGGGGGGCATGGCTTGAGCCTCCCTTTCGAGCACGAAGGCTCTTCTGAGTCACCTTCCTGATGATCCCGCGTGGGCGTGTGAAACCGGTAGAAGGATACCGCTTGTTGCTCTCTTCACGGTTTCTCATGCATATGCACATGCGTTTTGGTAATCACTGTTGATTCAATCTCGTATGTGTGATGTTGCTATGGCTGCACAGACTGTTTAGCCGCAGTCTGCCAACTCGTGGGAGCGTAGTAACCGTCAGCTGCACGCGCTTCTCGGTGGCTGCGTCGACATTGTGGTAAGTGGAAGGATACATGAGTCGGAGGTGGATCGGGGAGAAGAGTGACGAGCAAGATAACCAGCTAGGAGAAGCGCATGGTTGATCCGGTGGAGGCGGGGGCTTGCGGGCTGAAGGACGAAGTTCAGACCATCTTACACCGGTGAGCGAGTTCGCGTCATTGGGAGGAAAGGATGAGGAGGGGTGGAATCGTGATACGGACTCTGTTGTATGGACTTGGCATGATGCTGATAGGTGTCGGGCTCATAGTGGTGGGATCGACGCTCTGACAAAGATGTCGACACCTTGCGCAAGATGCGGTGAGGACTGCGGTCGGCATAGGAGGAGAGCTACAGTGCGCACGAGATTAATCCAGGCTCTAGAGGAGTATGTAAGTGAGACCGTGGAACCGATGCACTACTTGATCGGCTTGGTCAATAATGAAGCCCTTCGCAATGCGTTGTACGAAAAACTGATGAGCCTACTGATTAGGATCGAAACTACCATCTTGGCTTTGCGCACTAGACGACAGGTTAGCTACCGGGAAATTGTAGATATTTAGAGGGAGTAGATCGGTTTCGACTGAAGGCGACATAATTAGATTAGCCGGATGAGAGGATAGAGGGGATGAACACCACGTGGCCTTCGAGTTCGCAGTTACGACGGTGACGTGGGGCGGATAAACAATCGTTTGAAGGGGAGCTTACAAAGAAGCGGATCGGCGGCGTTACGGGAAAACGCGAACAAGGACGGGATGTTGCTGACTAACGGCCCAGGTGGCGGGGGCGGAGGCGGATATAATAATGCGCCCAATGGGCAATCCTATGGCAACTATGGGAACGGGAATGGATCCGGGGGCGGAGCAGGCAGCGACGGAGGCGGGGGACGAAATAGCGTCTGCTATAACTGTGGGAAAACCGGGCATTTCGCCTGGGACTGTTGGTCGAGGAGAGGGAGAGGATACGGAGCACAGCAGGGTGACCCCGAACTGGAGGAGATGAAGGAACATTTTAGACAACTGAGGAGAGAGAGACAGGAGCTAAAGGAGAAACGCAAGCTGGAAGAAGAACGGAAGGCCAGGGAGGAAGATGAGTTGCGGAGGAACCAGGATTTTGCGAGGAAAGCAGAGGAGTTTAAAATGCAACTTCACGCAGAACTACTGGAGGAATGGAGGAGGATCAACACCGAAGTGAAGGAGGCGGTGGGAAAAACCAGAAGATCAACGAAGAAGCACACGTGTAAGAGCGGCGGCGGGACCAAACGTAAGGGGAGGCGGTACTCAAAGAAGAAGAGAAAGGAGGAGATTCCTAGCGAGGAGATGGAATCGGACGATACTTCCGACGAAGACAGGTCGGATTCAACGACTACTGGCTCGGAATCGGAAGGACCGCAGATAAGGAGGAAGTCAAGTGGGAGACGCACACAACCAGAAGGGTTTTGCGTGCATGAAGGAACATAGCTGCCTGTGCGCGAAGCTGGATTTGCAGAAGGTGGATGGGCATGTGATGACGCGATTCTCAGAGATGGAGGTTCCGGTTTTCATGAGGAACTCCAGGAATGTAACTAGACCTGCCAAAGCCAGTAACACAGTTACGATGGCCAAAGCGGTGCTAGCGGCAACCAGACATTTGAAGGTGAAGGAAACACCGATGGTAGACTCAAGTGAGATATGGATTACAGAGCAAGGCTCAAGTACGACGTGGAAGGATGATGAGGTTCTGAGTTGGAAGAGGCGGTTTGACGGCCTGGTACTCTCTCCGATAGATCGTAATCAAGGAGACACAGCGGTGATGTGCCCGATACTCTATCGACATGGGTTTGGGAAGACTTTAACCTGGAACACAAACTATGAAACGAAGGCGACTGCCGAGGAGGAGGTCCTCAGGGAGAGCAGAGAAGATTTTAAGAAGAGTGGATTACCTGCAATCGGGAGCTGGAGGTCTGACGGACGCCTGGGGACGGCATACGTGATCCCGAAGCATAAGGATCTGACACGATGGAGACCAATAGCGACCGCACCGGTTGATCCAGCTGCCATGACACAACGGAGATTGGCACGCGCTCTACATCAGATGCTGAAACGGTTACCGGCGAACAACACATTCTACTTGAACTCCATCTCGGAACTAACAGAGAGACTCGCAGGAACTGCAGTACGTTTTAGAGCCGCGGGGTGCGACCAAGCTATCGAGAGGTGTTATGATATCAAAGACATGTTCTCGCGGATCCTGCACGAAGCTGTGATTCAAGCGGTACACCAGCTTCTCAGGATCTATGACAACAAGGGAAGTAAGCAGGTCAGAGTGTCTCGGAGGGGGAGAAACTGTGTTATTCGTGATAACAAGAGATAGACGGACGGTTATGTTAGCTTGCCACCGAAGCTGATTCTGGAAGGCGTAAGATATGACTTGAGGCACTCGGTCGTTAAATGCGGAGACAAGATAGTCAGGCAAATTTTTGGAATTCCGATGGGGAAGTCGACGAACCCAATCCTAGCCTCGATTACCTGTGCTATGGCGAAACTTCGCTTTATCAAGGAGCTAGGAAGCGACAAAAGACTTGTGGGCGGCTGGAGAGTGATGGATGACATCACCATGATCGTCGGAGTAATGGGACAAGGCGACAATGCTGGACACCGCGAAAATCTCTTCGAATCCTTCGAAGGGATCTACGACAAGAATCTGGAGATAGTGCGAAAGGACGACTGTGGGACGACGTGGCAGTTCGTTGGAGGTGAAATGATGATCTGTAGATCACCACTTCAGCTTCACTACATACTAAGTACAAGGAATTCGGAAAGGCTGAATGCAGACGGAGAACTTTGCTTCCAGACGATGCAGGACTACAACTCATATTCAGCGAAATGCGTGAACAAGGCGGTATTGACAACCACGATTAGAAGACTGTGAGACCAGGCGACGAGCAAGGAGCTAGTACTGGGTGCTATTGGCTTCGCTGTTTGCGAAGCAGACGTCCGGGGTTACCCCCCGGAGGTCTCTCTCGGTGCCCTGACCAATTTGGTCAAGGCTGTGCCCAATCGAGCACTACAAACCCTACGAAAGGCCTTTTTGTACTCAGCGGACTGCGCCAGGAGACGAAAGCGGCGCAAGGCACTGGATTTGGCTAGGAAAACCACATGATGACCAAACGGATGGATCAGACTGGTTTTATTTTATTTTATTTTATTTTAGTTTAGTTTAGTTTAGTTTAGTTTAGTTTAGTTTAGTTTAGTTTATTTATTTCATTTGTTTTAGTTCATTTATTTTGATTCTGAACTCGGCTTACGTATGTAGTTCGACTCACGGATTCCGTACGAGAAGACCGTGTAGCCGACCCATTTTGTATTTTCCATTTTGAAGTGTGCAGTTTGAATTCTGCATTTCGAATTGTAAAAAGGCCGGACGCACCGAAATTTTGGGAGAATAAACACAAAGTAGGTGCAGGGCGGAGAAGCACTCCACCGGCCAGTAGGGCCCACAGGGCGATAGCAGGTTTTTGGGAGACTTGAGGAAATACGACTTCGGGGAAGGCGGGGATGGACATGGGGTACTTTTGGGGAGCAACTACATCGCGGAACGAGCAGTAGGCAGGTTTCGCCCAAACGTGAACTGGAGTCTTGACCGACAAGACATGTGGTTACTATTTCTGATTCTTGGACAACAGGGTACTACTCTCGGTATTCGAGATGGATGTGGGGGAGTGAGTCCTGGATACTATATAGTATGGGGGGCATGGCTTGAGCCTCCCTTTCGAGCACGAAGGCTCTTCTGAGTCACCTTCCTNGGATGTGGGGGAGTGAGTCCTGGATACTATATAGTATGGGGGGCATGGCTTGAGCCTCCCTTTCGAGCACGAAGGCTCTTCTGAGTCACCTTCCTGATGATCCCGCGTGGGCGGGTGAAACCGGTAGAAGGATACCGCGTGTTGCTCTCTTCGCAGTTTTTCATGCATATGCACATGCGTTTTGGTAATCGTTGTTGATTCAATCTCGTATGTATGATGTTGCTATGGCTGCACAGACCGTTTAGCCGCAGTCTGCCATCTGAATCACCACCGCAAAAGTGTTGGGAACATGACCACCCTTACGACATCTCTCTCTCTCTCTCTCTCTCTCTCTCTCTCTCTCTCTCTCTCTCTCTCTCTCTCTCTCTCTCTCTCTCT